AAGTTGCATTCTTACACAAAACACAATTACAAAACGGACTTCCAGCTGCGTTTTGCTAAATGACCAAATAGGATGCTGGGCTGGTGTAACTGGCTTTTTACTCTTGTGTCATAATAGGGCAGGCATTCAGCAGCTTGGATTTAGGTGGTAGCTGACCTCAGTGCTCTTAATGTCAGCTCCTTCTCAGCACAAGACTGCAGTACAATACTTACCTGTAATGCAGCAGCAGTTTGGATCTTTAATTTTTTTCTTTTTGTTGTTTTTTTTTGGAGGTGGGGTGGGGGTGGAGTTTCTCTACCTCCTGTGAAAACAAATTTCTTTTTGTGTTCTCCACCTCCTGAATTAGTACACTGTGCAAATACAGTATTTGGTTTGCACACCGCTCCTGGATTACAGGTTAGAATTGTGCTTTTCGTATTTGCCTTCTCAGGGAACAAGTGTGTGCAAGCGAGAACAGCGACATACAAAGTGCCAAGGTGACAAGTGGACCCAGTTACTAAGCACAAATCACAGATGGATTTATGAGAAGCTGCTTCCAGACGTTTCTGTGCATTATTGTAAAGATAATTCAACACGAGCGAACGCTCACGTCTCGTGTTTGCTGTTTTCGCTGCATGTTCTGTATTTTAAATAGCCGCATTCTTGCTTTATGTTCTACAAGCTCTGACTCTTGCCTTTCATTGTAACCCCATTGATCTAGCTGAAAGCCTAGCAAATCCAAAAACCCCTGCTGCCGCTCTCTTATACTGAGTATTTTTAGTCTTAATCTCACCAACAGGGAAACAGCCACCCCTAAGTGGACTGAATTTCACAGCTCTTGAAGCCATGCAAAACTGTAAATTCATAGCATTGCTTTTTATTGCAAAAAAAGGAACAAAAAGAAAACAAAAAAATAGGGTTGTCACATTGTTTGCCTTGCACTTGTTTCCCTCTTTGCACTCCATAAAATAGCCTCTGGAGCGTTTTTGTGTCCGTAGGCTCGTGCTGTACACCCCCCATGAGAGGTTAGCACCTGCTGTCAGTATATCAGTAAGGGTGCGATAGAGACAAGGCTGGGGACACAAGCGAAAAAGATATTCATACATTAACAGATGAAAGCTTCTGTTGCTCTTCACCTCCTCACACTCTGACAGGTCTGCTTTTATCTGCCAAACCTCAAGGCGAGGACGGAGCTGCTTTATGGCGCTTTGCACTTCAAAACTACCTGGTTGGTCTTCCAAGGAGGGCCCCGCTTCCCTGCAGCAGCCACCCATCAGCACCTCGCATCCTCTTCTCACACAGATGCTTACACGCGCTCCACCATTCCACCAAACATTCCTATTTTTCCTTCATTTTTGCCCTCCTCCCCCTAGAGTTAGCCTTTGTTACTCTATGCATAATTCTTTTGGGGATGGGTGCGTTTTCTCTTCCCTCCTGGTGAAAGAGCGCTCCCTTTCTTCTCTTTGACTTTATTGTGTCCAGACAGGGAGTCCCCAGAGCTTTCTTTATTTTTCACACTTGCCCAGATATATACTGTGTTTTCAGGGAGAATTCAGTGTGGATGAATAAGGCTTTGTGAGGTTTGTGCGTGCATGTAAATGAGTAAGTTTTTTAAAAAGAATGTTTAGTCAACCGGGCTTGGCATGTCTGGGTTTGCTCATGGTTGTGGAGAAGGCTTGGATGGCCGTGTTGCTCCTGTGGTGGTGTTCTACCTCTCCAGGGGCTACTGGGAGAAAAAAAGGATAGACAGAAAGCAAGAGGGGGAATTGTAATTAAAATTTTCAGTCTTGTTAAGTTGGTGACAGCTTGCAATCGATGGCAAGAATCTGCCTCCAATACTAACGAACTAAAAGATCATTGGAGTTTTAGGTGGGCTGGGACCAGTAGAGGGAAAATAATTAAGATATTTATGGCCTCAATTAATCAGTTCACTGAGAAACTTGCTGCAGGAATACAGTACAGTTGGAAACTCTGAGAATGTACCTCAACTATATATTTTCTAAAACTCTAATTAGGAAGCCAGAGCTCCCTGAAGCAGCGAGCAGTATGACCTTATCATCCTTATTTACTCCTGAAATCCTAGTAGAGGCTATGGTTGAGATCCCCGTCCTGATCCATGCTGGTTTCACAAGGATGAAAACAGCAGTTTCGCCATATTACATTATAAAACTCTAATGAGGAAATATGAGCTCCCTTGTGATTCAAACTGCAGCACCCAATTATCCTTACTTACAGCTGCACAGGCTGATACACCCAGGTTAATGGCATAACAGAAGCTCTCCCCAAGGTGCTCAGCACAATGTGAAAGGCTGTGACATAGATCAATACATTATATCAGTGCGTCGACTCGGTTCTGGGGAATTCTCTCCTTCTGAAAATGCTGTAAAAAGATAAAAGAATGAAAGTGGTGCTTCAAAGGAAAACGTCACATTGACAGAACCTCCCACGCGAAAATGTTTTAAATTTGTGCTCAGCTGGCGAGCGCCATGTTGCTATTCTGCCCCTCATCCCGCCACCTGCCCCGGGCTTGTTAACAAGGTGCCCGTGGCAATGATTGCCTGGCCATCAAACTCCCAGCTGATAAGTTCCTCCGGGAGAAGCGGAGCTCTGTCATTGAATTCACCCCTGATCACCTCCTCATGCTGTACATTTGAGATAACGCTCGGCCATACCCGGCCTCGCATCCTTGGTAACGAGCGCTTTATATATGAATTATTCTGTAAAAATCCCCCCAGCATTTTGCAGCTACTTTGTGTAAGTGCGGGATGTATATTATTCGCTGCATTTGATAATTTGTTGACAGGATTTATATGCACAATTACGGTGTTGTAGCCTGTCATCAACATGGTATCCGGCGAGACACCTGTCACTTCCAATGTTGCAAGGCCCAAGAATGAGATTGGCTGAATGATTGAAGCCTGAGTGCAGTGAGGGTGAGGGACACAGTGACAGCACTGTGATTGACACAAATGAGAGAGAGGAGGAGATGATGGAAGGGAGCGAGGAGAGGACGGGATACTAAAACAATAGCAGGTTAAGAGAGTGGATAGAGGGAGATTTACAGATAGGCCGTAGAAGAGACAGGTGGCGAGTGGGAGAGGTGGGAAAAAAGCAGAGGACTGGGTGGGTGGGTGGGGGATGGGGGGGAGGGTGCTCTCTACAGTTCATCAAAAAGGTTTACTTAGAGAAAGAGAGTGCTGGGAGACAGGAAGCTGAGAGGAAGATGAGAGAGGAAAAGGGTGAAAACTATTCCAGGAGGAACATCCCAACTTCAGTCATGCCCCAGTGAATGTGCTGACAGGGTCTGTCTGTGCCACAGCGGAGCAAGTGTCATACACGCAGACACACCACACCACACTGCACAGGGCAAGAGGAAACTGCCACTGCTTAATCCACAACACACAGCATACACAGCATGTGTAAACTTTAAATGCAGTTTTGTAGCATTTGCTGGATTAGCCCACAGGACAACATCACTGCAAAGGACACGCTTTCCACAGTCTGTTCCGTGTTTACTGAGATTACTATTCATGATTTAAAATTGTTGTAGTTTGTCTTCCATGATCCCGAAGAAAGAAAATGACCTCGAGAATGATGTTAAGGACTTGGGATCAAGTGTTTGAAAGATGTGAGAATTTTACCAAGAAGCCGTGAAATGTGGCCGTGATGTCCACGTGGGGTGTCCCCATAGACTCACATGTTCAAACGTCCATTCTTTAATGCAGTCTTGGTCTTTGTAGCCCTGTCTTTAATGTCCGAGTTGGACCAATTCGCTCTGTTTATGCCTTTTTGTCTGTTATTGTTAATGTATAATTAATCCAGTTATAAAGTGATAGAAGTTTTAGCTCCAATTATTGGTTAGAGAAAGTCGAATATTTAGAAGTGTTTTAATAATTTGTTTGTGTTTGTGTGAATCAAATATGGATTTATGGATCCAGCTTGCTAATCTTCCTAACATTGGCTAATAACTAAACCCCCCCCCCACCACACACACACACACAAAACAAAACAAAAAGACAATCAAACAATAATAATGCTAAAGTGACACAACTGTGCCGATCTTTTATCTACAGTCTATGGGATTTATTAATCAAAGATGCCTATTGAATTGACACGACTGAATTGCTGTGTCAGAGCGGCATACCAGCAACTAAAATGTTACATCGCTCCCCGCTGCTTTGGTTTTGACCGTTATTCTATCTCACGCGATTTCTCCAACATCTTGAAAGTGTTTTAGCGAATCACTGGCATTTGGAGTTGAATTACACTGTACACATGCTCGTCTGCCTTTGCACGCGTAGTAGCAATAAAAAGGTTTTTATGTTAATGCAATCTGGGAAATAGTCACATTATTGACTTGTCAGATGCGTGGGCTGATGTTACTGAAACACTACTGAAGGGCTCCTGCTCTTATCTTTAAACAAGCACACTGATTGATATCTGACATTTTGATTTGGCGTAGGATTTCCATTTGAGGCTTGAGTGCTTGAGAGACATGCTGAGATTCAGATGTTTACCAACCTTTTAGATCGCTCGGGGCCCGACATGCAACAAAGTGCATCCACGTCTACGGCTTGCATCTGAATGGAAATGTTAACTGACTGATCAAAAGACAGTATCAATCGGGGTAATTAATCACACTTTAATATAACATGAATCTAACTTCATGTCATAGCTGGTCTCCTTCCACTGCAATCTGAAATCCTTGACAGTTGTTCCCATTAATAAATGCTCAAAGCAATATCTAATAAGAGTTACTCTATCACCTTTCCATATACAATACCGCGGTGATAGCTTTGTCCCTGTCTGTCTCGCGTAAAACATTTCAGTGATTATGAAGCTATAAATTGAATTGCGTTCTTGCCCTAAAAAAGGCCTTTGTGAAATTGTGATTGCTGCACTGTTAAAAGGTCTGTCCTGCCTGTCAGTGACTTCTTCTACCTGTCTGTGCCTCTCCACTTTTAATTAACACAGTGCAATGATTAAAGTTTTAACTTAATTATCTTTATCTTTTCTCTCAGGGTGTTCAACCCTCGGCGGGAAACTGAATGAGACACTTGACGAGAGGAGTGGAGGGAAAAAAAGCAGCGGAGAGAAACTTGGTGAGATAGAGGGAGATATCAGGCAGCTGGAAAAAAAACAAAAAGGAGAGGAGTGACTGACACCTGCCCTCCAGCTCGGTGTGAAGGGCATATAATGGGAGAGTGAGAGGAAGGGCATGAGGAGAGGGAAAGGAGAGGAGAGAATGAAGACAACCGGAAAACAAGGCCTGCCTCAAAGCAAACCTGTCTCCAATTAGGACATCTCACCACAAGACAAGATGATTACGAGAAATTTTCTCTTCTTGGTGTCCTTGTGTCTGTGGGAGGGGCTTGCGAGAGGTGCCTCAGCCAGTAAAATTTTACGGAGGAGAGGAGTGGGCGGATCGCACGTGGTGAAGCTGGGGGAGAGCCGTTCTATGGACGCGAACGTGGATTCGAATGCAATGCCCGTGGTTACTCTTCGAAACCTGATTAGCCACGAGCAGGCGAGCGACGCCGGATCTTTTTCTTACTCCAAGATGTTGCAGAATCATCCTGCCCCATCTGTAGCTAATAAGGAGAGACAAACTTTCAAGCCCAAGCGCGAGGTTGACTCTGTGGCCCCGCGCACATTGGCCGCTAGCAAGGAGTTTACCCAGGATGGGAAGAAAGTCAAAAACAACACCAAGAATGCTGACTCTTCCAAAACAGGGAGGTCAGAGAAAACTTTCACAGTTCATCATAAGCCAGATCTTCACTCTAATAAAACCAAGTTTAAATCTGGCTCCAGGTCCAAAGGCAGGACTGATTTCAGCGTCCATACTACGGGCGTGCCAGGGAAAGGTTTCAGCATAGACTCGAGCCGAAAGCTGAACCTCACTGGCAGTTACGGGGTGCTGAAGCTGCTCTCAAAAGACAACCTGGTTAGGATTGTCAATTCCCAAATGCAGAGCGTTCCCAGCTTGAGCTTTCCGAGCAAGGGCAGTCGGAGCAGGAAGCGAGATTTGATTGACGTTAATCACGGACAGCTAGAGCCTCAGAAAGTGCCGAGACAAGATATAGCTGTCACTCAGTCTCATGTGGGATATGATAATCAGACTGCGTTTCCTTATGCCAGCCCAGTCGCCACTACAGATCTTAATCGGGACCGGGGCCCTGACACTCGTATTAATCCGCTAAGTGAAGTCAAGCCAGCTTTAAGTAAAGGGCAGGACAACTTGGGAAAACAGGGTTCAGATAGCGGCGATAGCAAGAGCAAACACTTTGCTCGTTTCCTGTCAACACCTCGCAGCGAGGTCAGTTTGAGCCCTGAGAAGGAAGTAATGATCAGCCAAACAGAACGGCCATTCACATCGACAAAACATCTCCCGCTGTACGTTCCCTCTGAAACAAATGAGTCTCCTCCGTCTGTGCTGACAATGCAACCCCTGGGAGTGAGACCGGGGAACAGAGCAGCAGAGTCCCGTGGAGACCCATTAACAGAGTCAGCTCACACTGCTCAAACAGATCTCAGCACAGCTCAGTACTCCGCAGATGAAGACAACAAACTTGTCAACAGCAGTCATGTCCTGAGGCTCCACCCTGCTCACGAATGGAGCCGCATCGGGGAAGACGCCAAGATGCACGGCGCGGATCCCAAAAACGCAAAGGGCCTCGTATTTGAAGAAGCAGAGTCAGAGGTGGAAGAGGAGGAGCGCGATCGCATGGAGGTGAAGGGGTCACGGTCTCGCAGCAGGAGGAGCTGGATCTGGAACCAGTTCTTTGTGATTGAAGAATACGCCGGGCCGGAACCTGTGCTCATTGGCCGGGTAAGGAAAAAACTTCATTCATCATTTACAAGGGCTGTGAACTGTTTTATGAATGTTTTATGGATATTTAAGACACTGTTACAAGTCTCTTACATGGCTTATTTAACCCAAGGTCCTCGTTTCAGTTACACATCTCATACAAGAAATCATTAGCATACTTTAGCCCCATAGTCACGCTCCAAGTTTTTTTTTTTTTTGTGCATCGTTATAATCTCGCAATTGGAATTGATTTACTTTCCTCCAATATGGTACCTTCCAGGTAGCTGTAAAAACGCCAATGAATCTATGAAGTACCGAGGCGCAACAAAAGCCCCCGATCAGGTGAGCCCAGGGGGCTCGTCATGATCACAACCAATCTACAGCAGCCAATGGGAATTGACATATCCAGGCGAATTAATAGCTTTACTTTTTCCTTCCACCATTGATCCTCCCCGGAAGGCAGAGAGCAAGAGAGTAGTCCGAGTGTTCCCTCATTTCCCTGTAGGTCAGTCCTGTCAGCTATCCTCGCTCTTGGTCTCAGGCCTGCAAGATCCTCCTAATGCTATTTCATTCAGACTGATTTATACTTGCTTTGACAGGATTTATCACCGCATTCGCCCTCAGCACAGTCCTATTGCTCAGGTCTGCAATTTATTTAGATCACTGACTGACTGTGTCTTGCCCAGTACACACACACACACCTCCCCTCTCCCTTTTTTTAAAGAGTGAGCAGACGAGCGTGGAAGAGGTCACGTCGAGTGGACAGAAGGTGTCTCGGAGCCCTGCACTGTAATGGCTGCGCTCTCAGTCCTCAGCATGCGCCAACTGTCTCAGTACCCAGCTGCGGTAGATGAGCTAATTTATAAGCCTGTGTGGCCAGTTTGCTGAGCAAATGAATAGTAATGATCCCCGTGTGACTGCTGTAGGCTGTGAGAAGCCGGTGTGCGTGTTTGTGTGTGTGAGCGCTTCAAGTTCAGAGCTTCAGCTCAGTGGGAGGTGCGTTGAACTGAAAAGACCCACATCACATTGCATCTTTAGGTTTTAATATCCAGGTGCAGGCAGATGGGCAGGACCTCGCGGGCTTTGTGCGCAAGCCTCCCTGATGTTTAGCTAATATTTAATGTGGCTCCTTTTGCTTTGTGCTGTGACTGATGAAGGTCTGAGTGGAATGCTGGGAAGCACTGGAGAAGATGTAAGAGCCAACGGTCCAGCTTACAGATGGCACTGCGTGTAAAGCCATTAGTGCCAATCTGCTGTGTCAAGCAGGTATTTATGCCAGCACATTGTATGGCACTCAAGGAGGGAACAACGCCAGGCCACACACACACACACACACACACACACACACACACACACACACACACACACACACACACACACACACACACACATGCCCATATGATAGTGCTGACACTTGGAGTACACCCAGAACACTATTGTGACTGTGTATCTGTGTGTACTGGGTTAGAGATGCGTATGATTAGTTCCCTACTGTATGAGACAAGTGGCGGCACACATGTATAATGCTCTTATAGATCCTAATACGCTTATGAATTTTTAATCTCCCGCTCTGGCCCAGTGTAGGCCAGCTCTATAGGTAGAGAGATCAATGCGCGCTTGTCGGGGTTTTTTTTGTGGGTTTTTTTACCCTATTGAGGGCCTGATTGTGTTTTAATGGAGAAGTGTGAAGAAATTGACTGTGCAGGCCAAAACAGCTCCACCTGCCAGACCTAGCCCAGTCCAAAATCAGGCTCAGTCAGCTGCAAATACTGTTGCCTCTGTTTCAAAACAACGCATCTCGCCTAAAACCAACTATACTGTCCTTACGCAAATCGTGGTCATGTGAAGGTGTTTTTCTGCGGGCTTGTTTTAAAATACGCCTTGTGACATTGATTCATGCTGGATTTTTGTGTGATCTTGGACAGTTTGTTCCAAATAAATCTCTACTAAAGCTGGAAACTAGAGCCAAGAGTCTAATCTGTGATGTCAATAGGAGACAAAGGCCCTGCTGCTAAACTGATAATGAATTGGTGGTGTGGAGGGGGTGGAGGGGGCAACTCTGTGGACACAGCGCTGGGCGCAGTTTTGAGCACTTCCTCTGATTTCAAACTTTCAGAAGCTCTGTCACAAAAAGTGCTAATCTGTTCATCAATCTAAAGAGAATATAAAATGAAGCAGTCGCTGAGCTTTCATCTATCCATCAGCTGTTGCTTGAAATATCTCTGCACTCTCAGAGATGCAAGTTTTCAGGTTCACTAGAGTTGCCTAAAAGGGCAAAAGGTTTTCAGCGGTCTGTCTGAGTCAGTTTTCTGCTCTCTACAAACACCCTTTCGCTCTTTATGTCTCTCTTACACCCATGCAGAGCCCTGCACACACACACACACACGGGCATGCACAGGCACACAAAAACACGTGTGCACACTTGCAGACGCTGCCATGTTACTATATTTTCTCACAGTGGAGTGTCTCTGCCCCATGATAATTGTGAATTTAATTGATGCTGTCACATGGTCTGTAATGGGGTTTCAAGTGATTGCAGAGGCTGTGTGAAAGAAACACAGATTTTTCTTGAGGAGAAAAGGCGCCTCAGCAGAGCTGGGATTAAAAAAAAACAAAAAAACGCCCCTTTTCTGATTAGCTTTTCTTCTCCCCTTACTCTCTCGCTGCTGAAATGCAAACTCCCTAACACCTCATGCGGGGGGAAAACGTGACATATACAGCAGCTTCTTCCTCTCTGTTAGGAAATTCCTTCTTGCCCCGTCTTCACCCCGATAACAGCGTAAGCGTATGTGAGGCCTGGTGTGTTGGTGAACGTGCATATATAATTCACCAGCGCAACAGGAAGTGGACTTAGGCTATCGTCCTCATTAGCATATCATTTACATCATCATGAGCATACATAATTCATAGTTAGTGAAATATGCTGGTAATACGCAATTAACATTGCTGTCTGTACTATACATGGCGCTCACACTAGGGCATGGCAGGAATCTATAACATGTAGGCATCAGTGTGAAATAGTAATTAGATACTTTTAGCTCCTGACATGCTGAACAATACCAGTCATTTCTCATCATTATATTGAATCATTAACATTCACTACTAAAAATTGCTCTGCAAAGTGCATTTAAAAGATTCCCCCTGCCTCGGGGCATCTTAAGATATATAAATAAAACAGTTAGTTACCGACTGTCCTGCTAATGATAAGACCTGAGCCTCTGGGTGCAACATGCGCACACGAGATATTGGAGAAGTGCTTGTAGGAAATCCTCGGTGTGATGCAATGGTGAGAATGAGGTTGTCAGACGAAGTTAATTCTTAGTATGCATGCTTTTTCTCTAATTTTCACTCTTGCAAAGCTTGTTCCTCATTAGCTACAAGTACATTTATTCAGCTGCATGCAGTATTTCTCTTTTATGATAAAACTATACTGCTCAAAAAAATGAAAGGAACATTTTGAAAGCACTTTATTTCTCCATAGAACAATCATGCTGGATATCTATGCCGATATAGACTAAGTAATGTGTTAGAAACAAAAGAATTCAAGTGAAAAAATGAAACAATTTAGTCCATTTTACCAAAATTGCATTGCACCAACTCAAAATGGTTTGTGTGGCCTTGCCGAGACAACTGATGGTGACCTGGGAGATCTTGTCCCAGTTCTGGATCAGGGCATCACTGAGCTCCTAGACGGTCTGAGATGCAACCTGGTGGCGTTAGACGGACCGAACCAGGGGCCAGTCGAGGTATCAGTTCCTTCATCCTCCAGGATTTGCTGGCATACATGAGGCCAGGCAGGGTAGGGTCATGCATCTCATTCTGATACCTAATGGCAGTCATGTTGCCGTTGCCTAGCCTACCTAGTCTTTGTGTCACTCCAGGGACAAAGTAACAGGCAGCAAAACATTTTCCCTGGCTTCTCCAGATCCTTTCACATCTGTCACATGAACCTGCTCTGATCTGTGAAAAACACAGTTTGCCAGTGGTGGGCTGAGAATTCTGGTATTCTGTAAATCCTAATCTGGCACCACGGCGCTGGGCAGTGAGCACAGGGTGCACTAGAGGATGTCGGATCCTCACGCCACACTCATGTTGTCTGTTTCTGATTGCTTGGTCAGAGACATTCACATCAGTGATCTGCTGGAGGTCATTTTGTAGCTCTGGCAGTGCTACAAAAGGCACAAAGGAGCAGATACCTGTCCTGCTGATTGGTTAAGGACCTTCTACGGCCCTGTCCAGTACTCCTCGAGTAACTACCTGTCTCCAGAAATCTCCATGCTCCTGAGACAGTGCTGGGAGACACAGCAAACCTTCCGGCTATGGCACGTATTGATGCGCCATCCTGTAGGAGTTGGGCTACCCGTGCAACCTCTGTAGGGTCCGGGTATCACCTCATGCTACCAGTAGTGTAGTAGTGCACCTGTTGTTATTTCATTAACATCAAAGCAGCTGAAACTGATTAACAACCCCCTCTGATACTTAACTGACCAGATCAATATCTCACAAGTTTAAATGAGTCGATGCTACACTCTGATTAAAAAGTGTTCCTTTCATCTTTTTTCAGCAGTGTATTTCACAGCTTTAGTTACTGGGTATCTCACAGGCTCTACATACAAACACAAGGCAAACAAATATATAGATAGTATGTATTTTACTGCTAATGGATTCAGGTAGCGTAGGCGTGGACTCATGGGAAACATTTCATTGGATCAAATTTGGCCTGAAATGTTCGAATCTTAACTGTAATTTTATATGTGACGCAATACTTCTCACTGTACTATTCCTGCATTTCACCACCGTCTGTTTTTGATCCTTGCTTATTATCGTAAAGCTCAGTTCTTATTTTGCTCCTCCTATGCGTCTTTCTTCTCTGTGTGCCTCCTGTGTTCTCTTTTTCTGCATTTCACATTGTCTGAGTTTATTCTCGGTATCTCTGTTAGTGTTAGCTTCTTTTTTTTAAAGTTTACTTCCTCATGTGGTTTTCTGTTTTTACTTCAATCCTCTCTTTCCGTGTCTCAAAT